CCAGGCAGGAGTCCGGACGAAGAGATCCTGCGTGAGATCACGCAGATGCTGAGAGAGGACGGATGGAAGGAAGCAGCGATTGGGCCAACGATCGAAGCAGTCGTTAAGCGATCATCAGTCGTAGGGGGGAAGGGCTCACCAAGGCAGGAGGGCTCACCGAAAGCTAATCAGAACGCCGTGGCCCAAGTAATGGAGTAGATGATGCAGCTGCTTAGCCTAATGGCTAGTCGCCTAGAGGCACTTGAGAGGAACCAAGCCAAAGGACGTTCGGAGTCATCCCCAAGAGTCGACACTCCTCCACCACCGCTAACAACAGTCGCCAAGCCAGCAGCCTGCAAGAATAAGTTTCCCGACCTAGAGCGTTTTAATGGGACACGTGATAACTACCTAGGTTGGAAATTTGAGTGCGAAGGGAAGCTAGAGTACGACTACGCCATGTTCCTAATGGAGGACGCAAAGGTCTAATACGTGCTTAGTTGAACAAAGGGCAAAGCAAACTAGGTCCTTCTTCCCTAGGTGCTTAAGAATAAGGAACGAACTACGGCCGGCCTATGGGAGCACATGGATACTCACTTCTAAGACGTGCACTAGCAGCAGCGTGCGCTAAACAAGCTTCAGCACTTAAAGCAAGGACGACGACTAATACGCGACTATGTCTTAGAGTTCAACCAGCTTCGCGTAGAGTCCTAACAGCAGTTTAGCCTAGTAGTAGCTTATAAGATGTTTAGTGAGGGACTTAGAGAAGAGCTCTAAAAGCTAATGCTCTATACTCTAAAGAACAGAAGTCTAAAGGAATATATAGACAAGGCAATCAAGCTTTCCAATAACCTATACTAGATCCAGTTGCACGGGAGGAATCGAAGAAACGCGGCCTATAGTCATGCGCAAGCTCCCCCGAAGGTCGCTTAGCGAGATGCTAGTCCAGAAGCGATAGACTGGGAGCCCTCAAAGGCCAATCGGGCACGGGAAACGAAGGATAGACCAAGGCGGTCCCCACTAGACTGCTATAGCTGCGGCGAACTAGGCCACATCGCTAGAAACTGTCCGAACACCACTCGGGTTAAGAGAGCCGTTCCCCCAAGCGAAGGGCAGAGACGCCAGAAACAGATCGAATGCCCAGACGATAGCGACTCGGAAAAAGAGTAGCTCTGGGCCAGAGTCTCGGCCTAGAGCCTCTGAAGATGGATCGGCAGACACGTAGCGAATGGAATTAGTTTTAGCAGAAGCATATGCGTCCCCCACCAATCACCGTAGATCTTATCGTGAACAACGTAGCAAACGCTGTCGCGCTTATAGACTGCAGATGCCTATGCTATGCACTAATTAGCAAGAGATTCGCTTACCGCCACCGTCTAGAGCGCTTTTAGATCCCCTCTTAGATAATTAAGGGAGTGAACAGCAAGCTATTAGAGATTAGCAAGGTCGCCTAATTCTTGTTTAAGATGCATAGGTACGAAGAGACTGCTTATGCATACGTGATGGACTTGTCCTCTAGTGAGGACGTGTACCTTAGCAGGGGATGGATGGACCACTAGGACGTATCAGTATCTCCTGCCAAGAAGAGTATTTTTATCCACTTAAAGGGCATTTAAGTAAGGTTAACTAAAGGACGCCTACGAGGAGGAGTTAGCTAAGTTAACGCTGTAGCGTTTGCGGCCTTAGTTCGTAGGCATAAGAACGCTCTAAATAGCGTTTAGATCTTCGCCGCGTTGATTGTAGACATCGACAAGGCGCTACAACCGAAGAAGCCCGTAGATGTACGAGCGCTGCTACCAACACAGTACTAGGAGTTCTATGAGCTCTTCAACCCAAAGCAAGCAGAGAAGCTTCCACCGCACCGAGGGCCAGGGGTGGACCACAAGATTAAGCTAGAGCCAAAGGATGCTCAGCCACTGTGGGGACCCCTTTATAGCATGTCGCGCGGAGAGCTCCTAGTCCTTAGAAAGGAACTTACATCGCTTCTTAAGAAGGGATTCATCCGCGTAAGCAGCTCGCCAGCTGCAGCGCTAGTATTGTTCGCTAAGAAACCTAGAGGAGGGCTCTGACTGTGCATCGATTATCGAGCTCTGAACGCAATTACTAAGAAGGACCGGTACCCGCTACCCCTCATCCAAGAGACACTTAACAGCTTAAGCAAGGCTAAATAGTTCACAAAGTTGGACGTTATCGCAGCCTTCCACAAGATCCATGTCGCACCAGGCGATGAGTGGAAGACAGCCTTCTAAACAAGATTCGGACTGTTTAAGTGGCTAGTTACCCCCTTTGGCATGGCGAACTCCCTAAGTACTTTTCAACGATACATTAACTAGACCTTGAGAGAACACCTAGATGACTTCTGCTTAGCATACCTGGACGACGTACTAATCTACACCGATGGCGATCTGCGCCAGCACCGAGAGCACGTCCGAAAAGTGCTTAGCAAGCTGCAAGCCGCAGGGCTACAGGTGGACATCAAGAAGTGCGAGTTTGAAGTCAAGACAACTAAGTACCTTAGGTTCATTATTAAAGCAGGTAAAGGGATAAGCATGGATCTAGCCAAGGTAGCCGCAATCCGCGAGTGGGAGGCACCAAAGACAGTAAAGGGAGTAAGATCGTTCTTAGGGTTCGCGAACTTCTACCGAAGGTTCATTAAGAACTTCGCGCAGCTAGCCGCACCTCTTACTAGGCTTACAGGTGACGTCCCCTTCTAATGGGGATCTGAAGAGCAGTTAGC